CCTAAACCGAGACCAAGACATTGAAGAGACCGGAGGGTATCAAGACCAAGACACTGCCGAGACTTGAGGGTAAACGCCAACCTAAGATAACTTGTACGCAGGGAATTGAGTCACGCGGCACGTCTCTCAGCGGAAACAAAGGGTAACGCTTCAGTCTCAGCCTCGCATTCGCTGTGATAGCATCGTGCATGGTTACACTAGCTGAATACATATATTTAGACAGTAAAAAAACATTTAGACAATGATAGACAGCAACAGTAATTATTATTATATAATAAAATACATTTTAAAAAAGATTTCTTATTAATTATTCTAATTTTAATAATAAACCATTAATACATTTAATTATAATAATATTGTCCTGCCGAGCGGGGACAGAACGGAGATAAAGGCGCAAACGTCAGGGTATAGGGGAATACGGGGTTTAATTACAGGTAAGGCAGGCAAAACGCAGACGGACAATACAATGACCGGACCGGGGAAACAAACTGAAACATGGACGAAATACAGAAGACTAATGACAACAACCAGAAACAGCTGATCACACGAGGATTCCACACGGGGTTAATGAGGGTGCGTGGCACACGGAAGGAGCGGATGATCGGGGCAGGACACATTGTTTTTTTTAACTTTACACATTGTTTGGATACATTTATTTTCTTACTTTACAAATTGCTGTTTTGATAAATGTGCTTAGATGTGTTTAGTACAGTATATGCTCTTCTTGTTTTATCCGGTTAATTTTGTGTTTAAATGCTAAAAAAACATATTTAGGTGTACTTTTTTGGGACCGGGAACCAATTTGTATAATAATAATGGTTTTCCATTATTTCTTATGGGGAAAATTCGATCAGAACTCGAACTTTTTAGGATTCGATCTGGAGTTCTGAAAGGATTAAGTTCAAGTTCTGAGGTACCACTGTATTTATCGTTCTTAAACATATATTTATATATTGTGGCGAGTGTGAGAGAGAGAATTAGAAGACACACTGATCTTCAAGCAAACATCTTTTTATTTCTCAGCTTTTGGCAGCTTCAAAACAGACTTGCATACAAAGAGTACTGTGCCCTCCACTGACATGCTCCAGTACTGCTCCTCAACCTAACACAGCGCTGTTTTCTCTTTTTTCCCCATCCCATCGAGACCACTATGTCCGAGACCAAGATAAGACCGAGACCAAATAGAGTAGAGACCAAGACAAGACCGAAACCAAATAGTCGAGACCACAAAAAAATTGGTCTCGAAACCAAGACCGGTCTCGAGAACTACAGCACTACTATATGAGGAACAACTACGATAATCCATTGCCAATTTCCTTATCTTACAGTCTGATTACTGACTTCAATCCTAAATATGAAGAGAGCTATCAGAAAATGTAACAAAAATCAAGTAAATTTCTCATTTCTTTCTAGGGCCAGGAAAGCAGAAAGAACAATACGACTCATAGGAGAGCGACAGACAGCCGGAAATGAAAGAAGGACCAAGTAAAATGATGTGATTTCTTTTCACCTGCCTTCAGGTTTATACAAACATGTAGTATTTAAATATTAAAGTTATAAAAGATCATATAGATCAATTGTCTTATAATTTCAGGGATGATTTTAATGTCATGTAACTGATCATTAAAACCGTATCAATTTTTGTGTGAATGCAGTATAAAACAGCATTTTAAGATATTTCATTCTGGAAAAATCATTATGATACATTTTTTATTAAATTGTAGCTTAACAGCTCTTACACATTGCTTTTACAATGAAGCAGGCATAGAAAATGGATGGATCGATGGACAGACAGATCAGTCTTAGTTGAGGCCAATGGTGCTCAGGGGATCCGAATCAACATCAGGAAACATCTTCATGCATCCATCCATCTTCCAACTGCTTTTTCAGGGCAGGACTGTGGAAGCCTGGAGTCCATCCCAGCCAGCCTGTTAATCAAGAGGCATTCTACCACCATACAGATTTAGTAAACTGGCTGTGATAGGACAAAACGGAACCAGGCCTAGCAAAGAGACTGAACACTGTGTAGGTCTTTTGACACATCCCCCTCCCCCCCCAAAAAAAATTCACGAAATCTTCCCTTTGTAAGACATATTAAGCAATAAATTACCAGCAACCATTATCTTCTGTAGTCAGCATTGATGACTATGGGATGGGTGAATGAAAGAATCAATAATGTCATCACCATCATCATCATCGTTCTTATCCAAAAATCTTAATAATATAATTAATATCCCTGTGCAGGATCTTATTGTGAAACCCTGTAACAATTTATAACAGGAAACTTTATAACTGTATAATTACTCAACAAAAATGATTATCTTGATATCCCACATCATAACATTCATTTTTCTTTCTCATCTCATCCGAGCATGAGGGCTGACTGTGAGCAGAGGCTCCTGTATACCCTCCTGACACAGTACAACAAACTTTCTGGACCAGCTGCCAACACATCTGAAGCGGTGCTGGTCAGCTCTGGCCTGTCCATTGCACAGCTCATTGCTGTGGTGAGGGCGAATGAACAACCAAAGGTTTCTTGAATTAATCATATGAAAGGTCAAACAAAGGGAATGGTAAAAAAAAAAAAAAAATACCAATGCAAAAGTCATAAGGTGCGCAGTTTTATATGACAAGTACATCATACTTATTTATAATTAGAATTAACTTCTTTTTTATAGGATGAGAAGAATCAGATGATGACTACAAATGTTTGGATGAAACATGTAAGCTGATTATAAAATTAAAGCAACAATAAATTTCACTTTAGAAAAGGCTGCTCTGGGTGGCATGGCGGTGCCGTGTTTGGAAAGAGGCTCTGTGTCTCTGCTCCTCTGTGTATGGAGTTTGCATTTTCTCCCCATGTTGCCATGGGATTTCCTCTGGCTTCTCTTGCCCATGTGCCATGTGCTGAGGTGGAGCTGCTCAATCGTTCATAGGTATGCATGTCTGCTGCTAGGTTATTCCCTTCTCAGAAAGGCTGGACCGGACATACTGGATCACTCAACCTCACAAGTCCCCATATCATCTCATGGAAGACAACCTGGCCAAGAAACAGGTGGGGACCTGAGAAATGGTCCCCAAGGCATCAAAATAACATGTTTTACCATGTCTCCACAATGTAATATATCCCAGGACTACACACACATTAGACAGCAACATGTACATTGTGTTCTGAACAATAACAGTTCAATCTGTTGATGTTGTGTTTTATAGGACCAGTAACACAAGTAATACAAAAGGTAAAACTTTAAGGCTAATGGGATATCATTTCAAATACAAGAACCTGT